AGAGAGAGAGAGAGAGAGAGAGAGAGAGAGAGAGAGAGAGAGAGAGAGAGAGAGAGAGAGAGAGAGAGAGAGAGAGAGAGAGAGTCAACTCCTATGATTTTTCACTAGGCCGTCACATTGGATAACAAACACAGGAGTCATGATGAGAGAGAATCACAGTGGCAGCAGCTTCCAGTGCCTGCTTATTTTATCTACATTTGTTCGACCGAAACCAACTGGATGTGGGTTGACTGCCCCATACTTCGTTTCCCCGGTCCGCGGCTTCTCCACATTTTTGGTTCTTTTCCAAGGGTTCAGTGTTAACAGGACAGGTCAGTGTTGGGAGGATGGGTGCAGGTTGGATCAACAGCAAACCAAGGGTTCGATCATGTCATGATAACAACCAAGGGTTACATAACTTACATTGCAAACACAAAACCTAACATCTGGCCTGTGCCAAAGCAGTCCATCTCCTTTTCCTCCTCCTCCTCCTCCTCTGCCTGAACAGGAGGAGCAGGAACAGGAGCCGAAGTCGAAAGCTGGGCAGAATGCACCACCGGGGAAGACAAAAGAATGAATGGATGAAAGAAGAGGACAGCATTGTCAGGAAAAAAAGCGCTTGACGTTGCCAGATATGATTTCTTACACAATACATCAAATCAAATATGGAGTTTGAAGTCCTTCGGGACATCCGTTAAGATTGGAACAATCCAGAGAGGATTAGCATGGATGGACCTTCCGCAAGAATGACACGCATAAGTCGGGAAATGGAAATATGGAGTGAAAAACATTAAATGATTAAACAAAACAGGAAATCAAAATGGTGAGCCGCCTCCTCCTGTTCCTCCACCTCCTTCACCTCATCCTCTTTGCCTTCCTCCCCTGCTCCTATTAAGAGAAACTGTACGAGGACAAGCAGAAGGGCAAAGCACAACCACAACCATGGAAGGAAAAGAAGGCCAGCGCAAGAGGAGCGCTAGCTTTCCGGATTTGCAGGCAAACACTCCACAGAGAAGGGTTTTGGGCACAATGTGCAAGTCCAAAAACTGAAGCATCCAGACAGATGCTCCAGCATCACCCTCCTGCCTTTTCCACTCGGGAAGAATCAGTCTGACTGAATTTGAACACCATGCGATGGTGCCGATAGGCTATACTTTCACGGAGTATGCAGTGTGCTACATGAGCACAGAGCCATGTAGCTCGGATATTGCCCCCCTCTGCAATGTTAGTAACCACTAACTTACTACTAGGGGACCTGTTGCGGCTACGCCCGCAATAAAAATGGAATGTTTGCCAAGAAGTTGATGGACTCTCTCTCTCTCTCTCTCTCTCTCTCTCTCTCT